GGCCGCGGGATTTGAACCGGCAACCTTCCAGCCACAGGCGCAGATCCTGAGCAACAGAGCCACCGCACCGGCCTAAATGCAGTGTTTTCACTTCTTTTCCGGGTATCAGACCTGCTACTGGTGAGGATGACTACAAAGGAGCCCCCACATGGGGCTTTTTGTAACTTGCACACACTGTAGGAGTTTCTTGTTTATTTTTGCTGCCTTTGTCCACCCTGAGCCCCTGTTCTAGGCTTTATCAAATGTGAAGATGCCTCAGTTTTGTTGACATGGTTTTACCCATCTAAAAAGACGACTTCAAGAAATTAAATGCAATCATACTATTATTTTTTTTTAAAGAAGAAACAACCCCATTCTAGAGTTATCAAGTTAAAATGTTTTAAAGGTTCCACAAACTGTTGGAGAAACACTGGAAAGGGAAGACCTGTGCTCAGACCTGTACATACTGTACAGACCTGTGCTCAAGGCCTTCAGTCTCATTTAAATGACATTCGGAAGCAGGTGTTTGAAGCCAGCCATCAGGAACGCAGGTGGAATGAGCTACCCACTGACAGAGCCCCACAGGACCAGAGTTGACATGACTGCACGAGCTCTTGAGAGAAACACACGCCCAAAAATGACGACATCAAAGGCGCGATACTCACCATTGTCGCTGTAATCATCCACTAATATAATTTCTTTGATGAGGTGAGGGGGGCTTTTCTTGAGAACACTGTAACAGAAGAACGAGAAGAATGGCCCGTCAGAGAAGGGTTCACTTTTACAACTGGCTAGTGAGGCAAGAGGATTGCCTTTGTGCTGGCCAACAGAGAGAGCAACGGAAAGAGTTAAACTGAATATTTTCTTCCCTGTTACTGCCCTAGACTCGGTGGAACAATCACTTTCCTTGCGATACATCTTACTTGCAAACTGAAAATGTATCTTGCCTTTTCTTCTGATTTTTACTTGAAGGCGGCTCCACAGCCGAAACATTGTGTCCCTTTTCTTTTCAGCAGGGAATAAACCTTTACCTGTTCCTTCGCAGCCTACGCATACTGATGCCACTGCCTGCTAGAACAAAATTCATCTCTTCAACTAGTAATAAGATGTAGCATTCTCTTTAGGGTTCATATTTCAACATACAAGATTATGCTCTGGTAACATTACATATTGAGAGACCAGTAACCTGGGACAAGGAACAAACCCGAGATGAGAAACAAAGAATTAAGGTAAGAGAGCTCCCCTCTGTCTATCCAGACAAATATGGTTTGCTGCTGTGAAGACGTATCTTGCTGAGGCCAACAAAATAAAATATTAAAAATACTGGTACAGCTCTTCTTTCGAATAAGAGAAAGAAGCAGACAGAGCAGACAGTACCTGACAACCGTGCGCAGGAGTGCAGACCGCGCCTCGTTGTGGAAGGTGATGACCACACTAGAAGCAGGGAGGTCCGTCCGCCACTGTTTCCGTCGGCAACTGCAGAAGACGGCAAAGAGAAACGGGCCGTTTTTAAGAAATCTGGTGTTTTTTCAAAACCTGTTAAAGTGGTAGTTCTAATGTTTTCTCTCAGTGATTCTTACACAGGTCTACAAGATACATTGACCTTAAAAAGTTTGAAAAGTCCATTCAAGCCAAACAGAGGACAACCTCGCTTACAGCCTGTTTAGTCCAAGAAAGGTTAAGAAGAAACGTGGGACAGATAAAAACCAAATAATGTAGAAGATGCATGTGGGGAAAATGGTAGAGATAGCCTAGTTTATAACCCCATAAGGGAATTAACACGTCCGTGGGATTTTCCTCACTGTTCATCTGCACTGCTTTCATTAGATGGCAATGTCAGTTTCCTTCTATATCCAAAATTATTTTAAAACAGTACACAAACTGGAGCACCTATTGGATGAAGACATCCCCTTTGACTTGCAGGCTAAAAGTGCTCGCAGAGCCTGACATCCTAACACAGACTTTTTCCTACCTACGCAGTAATCTGCAGAAAAACGTCAG